GCAACGGATCGCAACCCTCAGTGTTGCCCCCGTACCGGACCGGGGACCGGCAACGGGATTGCAACCCTCGGTGTTGCTCCCGTGCCTCGCTCAGCCAGTGAGCGGGAACCGGTCTGTATGTGGGATCCGAACCCTCGGGCGGGAGCGCCGCTGCGCTTCCCAAGCGGCGCACTATCCAGTGCACCACCGGGCCGGCCCCGAGATCCATTCTGATTTAACTTTTGTGTAAGGTGTGAAGCTCAGGGTGAGGTTCACTTTTTGCCTTCTGATGTCCAGCTGCTCCAGCGCATTTGCTGAAAGGCTGTCCTCCCTCCCCTAACGTGCCCTTGCACCTCTGTCATGCCTCAGCTGGGCATGCCTGCATGGGTCTGTTTCTAGGTTCACACTTCTGCTCCCCGATATGTGTCGGTCCCTCTGCAGACACCATATCTTGACTGAAGTAGCAATGAGGTACATCTTGAAAACAGGCAGTCTGATTCATTTCATCCTTCTTTTTCAAAATTGTTTTAGCTGTACTACTTCTTTTGTCTTCCCATATAAATTTTAGAATAATCTTTATATCTACAAAAAGATCTTGCTGGGGTTTTGATAGGAATTGTACCATTCACTTCTGATAGTTGTGGAGCTATTTAAATTATCTATTTCACATTGGGTGGCCTGTGATAGTTTATACTTTTCAAGGACTTGGTCCATTTGTATCAACATGGGCACAACTGACATATTAACCAGGTGAGTCTTCTTATCCATGAACATGGTATGTCTCTCCATTCATTCAGATCTTTGATTTCTTTCATCAGTGTTGTGTGGTTTTCAGCATACAAATCCTGTACATTTTGTAAGATTTATACTTGTTTCATTTTTTAAGTGATTGTAAATGGTATTACATTTTTAATTTGTGTTATTTTAATTTTATTCGTTGTCCATAAACATATTTTGTTTTTCTGAGTGTTTAATCAGGAATGGGTGTTAGATTTTGTCAAATACTTTTTCTGCATCAATTGATATAATCATGTGAGTTTTCTTCCTTAGTCTGTTAATATAATGGATTATATTTTTGAATATTGAGCCAGTCTTGCATCCTTGAAACAAACTCTTGATCATGATGTATAATTCTTTTCATGTATTGTTGAATGCTATTAGCTAATATTTTGCTAAGGAGTTTTATGTCTATATTGGTGTCTGTCATTTCTTTTTGTTTCATACTGTTTTTGTCTGATTTGGGTATCAGGATAATACTGCCCTCACAAAATGAGTCAGAAAGTATTCTCTCCCCTTCTGTTTTTCTGGAAGAGACTGTAGAATTGGTGTTAATTCTTTAAATGTTTTAGAATTCTCCAGGGAAACCATCTGGGCCTGGGGACTTCTTTTATGGGAGTTTTCAAATTAGATATTTAACTTATTTAATAGTTATAGGGCTATTCAAATTATCTATTTCATACAGGGTGACCTGTGGTAGTTTGTGCTTTTAGAGGAACGGGTCTGGTTTTTGGCCCACTGTTTGTCTGTGTATAGGTGCTTGTAGGATTCTCTCATTATCCTTTTGATTCTGCAGGGTCTCTCCACATCTGAAGAATGTTGTGCCACTTCCTTCTGGTCCTCATGGCTTAGAAATCTGCTGTCATCCTGTTTTCCCCTATGGCTAAAGTGGTTTTTTCTTGTTGCTTTCCAGATTTTTTGTCTTTACTCTCCAAAAGTTTTACTATGATGTGTCTCAGTGTGGATTTCTTTGGGTTTATACTGTTTAGAGTTTGCTCAGCTTTTTGAATCTCTAAGCTTGTCTTTTGCTAAATTAGGGATGTTTCAGTCATTATATCTTTGAAGATTTTCAGCCATGCCCTTTCTCCTCTCCCTGTAGAACTCTGATGACACAAATGTTAGAAAATTCGCTTTAGTCGCTCTGAGGGGAGGGGACTGCCATCTTCTTACCATCAGGTGGGGGTCAAATGTCAGATTCCCCACGTGGCCTCCAATGACCCTGAGTGGGGGGGGGGTCTCTCTTTGTTGGTCAGGGTGAGTTCAGGCCCTCCACGTGGCCTCCACTGAACTCCAGAACCACTCAAGGGTCCTCCAGGGTTTGTTACAGCCCAGAGGGATGAAAGTCCCTGCTCCCTACCTGGCCTTCTCTGGGGGAGGACGTGGCCCCCTCAGCCTTTGCTGGCAGGGGCAGAGGTGGGACCACAGCTTTTCCTGTGGTATTTGATTGTGGCTGAGTAGTTTTAGGCTTTTGGTGGGGTTTTGTCTGCACCTACTGGTGTTTCCAGGTTGATGGCTTCTTCAACTCCTAGTCTGGGCTACGTGAGGCAAAGAGAACCTGAGAAGGTCACCACCAGGTCACTGTCTGGGTCCTAGTATCCCTGGCTGGTCTGCCTTCTTTCTGCCTCTCAGGGTCTTACATTATTGCATATAACATCCAGGGATCTTACTAGTAATTAATGGGAAGAATAGAGAAAAGCACATCTGCTCCATCTTCCCAGAAAAAGAAGTCCCCAGCCTTTAAGTTTTACTATTTCATTGTTTAATCTAGATCCCACCCCCACCACTTGCTTTGTTTTCTATGGACTGTTCTAACTCTTCCCCAATTCTTCAGCAGCCTCTCAGAATATTCTTCCACTCAAAAATACAAAACAATCTGCACTTCCCTCTCTGGGAGCTTCCCTGGCCTGTTCCTCAGATTCCTGTCCTAGGACTTGGCTTTTCCGTCACCCCAGGAATCATCTGCACTCTTCCCTGCCTTCAAGCCTGGGGCTCTGAGCCTGTGATTCTTCCTTCTAGCGTGCCCTGTCTTTGACGTGGCACATCCTCCAGCAACTTCTCAGAACGGGCTCCTGCACGCTTAGGTTCTGGAGGCCTCGCTTTCCATTCCTCACGGCTTTCCAGTCCTCATGATGGGAGCCTCCCAGTGTGCAGACACAACCCTCAGTTAACTCCACAGAATATTCTCACTCTACTGCTCAGCGGTTTCCTCTCACTCTTTCCTCCATTTTTTCTTCCTGAGTCAGAGGTTGAACCTCCTTGATTAATCCTCTAATTTTCTGTTTTTCTTTTTCTCATTTTTTAACTAACTTTCTTTGTCTTTTGGCTATTCTTTCTGGGAGACATTGACTTTTACCTTTCAACCCCTCTATTGAATTTTTTGAGATATATAATTAACATACTTTAAATTCTAAAAGCTCTCCCCCTCAACCTTTTCTTTACCTAAAGGTAGAATCCTGTTGTTTCACTGTTAACAGTATCTCCTCTAATCTTTCTGAGACTATTATATATTTTTTAATTTCTTCTACTTTCCGCATTGTTGCAATTTTCATTCAGGTTTATTTTCTGTGTTTGTCTTGGTCGCTATCTTTCTTGGTTAAAAGTATTCCTCAAATGTGTACTTATCTGCCTGGCTACCTGTGTTTAAAATGAGGCTCTGAAGAGCTGACAGAAGCTGTGTGTGTGGTCAGGAGGTGCTGACTGCCGGGCTTTATTCAGGCTGGTTAGGCTAACTCCAGGGCCAGTGAGGGGCTGCTCAGCTTCCCTGCTAACCACCCTTCTACGGATCCCCTTGTGGGAGAGGTCTGGCTGCAGGTGTTCTGGAAGCTTGACAGAGAAAGGGGTTGGGATTCTCACCACTCCACATACAGGCTTTGACTTAACTCCCTTGCCTTCCGTCTGGGTCTCCCCCGACCCTTCCCTGTGCCAGGTGTTGCATGTCCACAGCCCCACCTCCCAGTGTGGTGGGGCCAGTCATCCAGCTGGGCCTCCCACAGACATTCACACAGCCCTGTGCTCCCGTCTGGGTCTCCCCCGACCCTTCCCTGTGCCAGGTGTTGCATGTCCACAGCCCCACCTCCCAGCGTGGTGGGGCCAGTCATCCAGCTGGGCCTCCCACAGACATTCACACAGCCCTGTGCTCCCTAGCCCCCTGGACTTTGTGTCCACTGGGATACCTGGCCCCAGCTGCCTCAGCTCTCATTAGGTTATGTCCCCTTCACTGGTCTCTCTCTTCCAGGTTTATGGCCCACCCTCATCCACTGCTGTGTCCCATTCTCTTTTTTTTTTTTTTTTTTTTTTTTTTTTTTTTTTGGCAGCTGGCTGGTACAGGGATTGAAGCTTGGTGTTATCAGCATCACGCTCTGACCAACTGGCTGCCCCCCCATTCTCTCTGACCTTGTGGCTTTATACCTCTTTATTCATTTCCTTTTGTTTTAGGGGAAGGACTAAAAATCAACTCATGCACCTCACACGGCTTATGCACAGTCTTTTGGGCACAGGCCTCGAATGCATGGTCTGGATCAGGACCAGGCCCCAGCTGTGACTGTGACACCCACAAAGCCCCAAGGCCTCGACTGGGTAACTCTTTTCACCTGCAAACTAAAGGAGTCATGAATTTTCTCCCAGCTCCAAGGCCCTCCTCTGGTGGAGCAGCACTCGCTGACCACACAGCTGGGCCTTCGAGAGAAAGAAGGTGGCCTGCTACCGCAGAAAGATCCAGAAACGGGGGGTCAAAGACAGGAATCTGGGTGTGGCAGTTATTAGAAATAGGACCACAGGCAAGATAACAGGTTGGGCAATCAGCTCAGGCGTCTGTGTGGATGTATACCCCACTCTCATTTGCTGGAGACAGCACAACACTTGTGTCGCTGACAGGCGCGCCCTGCAGCCCGGGACGACTTACCTTCACCTCCTTCTCAACATAGTCGCTCAGCAGTCTGTCTGGCTCGACGCGCTCGGGCAGTGACAACACCACAGTGTGCAGAGGGCGCCTCTCTGTCACCTTCTCATGGGCTTTCTTATCTCTACTCTTTTCACCTTTTAGGAATACTCGTTTAAATGGCGACACAATTCCAGGCTGCAGGCAGAAATGGCAATGATTGGAGTTCATTATTGACAAATGCTTTGTGTTGTCCCTATGGCTAACAAACAGATGTAGCCAAAACCACTACCATGGTCCCCATGCAAGCAGGGGTTGGTGCTGCCGGACTGGTGAGAAAGTGCCACGCACACAAGTCTGTGGACCCAGGCTCCACGGCTGTCAGGCAGGGCAGGGCACCATGCAGTCTCTGCACCTGTCCCCATGACACTTAGAAGGTGAGTAACCTCAGCTGGTGAAAAGAGGACAGAAGAGGGGAGATTCCCCCTGGAAGACCAAGCATAACATGGCTCCAGCTCTCCCCGGCTCTGCTGGGTCACATCGTTTCAGAGGACTCTGAGAAGGAGGTGGGAGGTGTGGCTAGTGCTGACATCGCCACAGCTGAACACATTCTGCGGGAGCACCTTTCCTGAGGGAGCACACGCTGGTTAGGCAGTCCCTTCCCTCAACAGGGCCTCCCTGGTCTGGGCACTGGCATGCAGGACACCGAGCACCACAAGGATCAACAGGGGAGATGCTGTGATTAGCAGCTGGCCGGCCCCCATGCTCTGACAACCTCACCCCCTACTCAGCATCTCTGGAGGGTTCTGAAGGCTAATCCCATAATCACCGTAAACTTAAAAAGCAAAAGTGAGAATGAGAGACAGAAAACCACAAGCCTTGCCTGTGATGCCCCAGGAAAAGCCTGGCCTTTGCTGAGAGATCTTACTGTGGTCCCTGTTTCCAGTCACCCAAAGGAACACAAACCCAGAGAAAACGGGATACTGACACACAGCCTCAGCAGGGAAATGGCACAAACACAGGCCTGTGAAGACCAAAGCTGGTGACCTGTCAGAGGGAAAAACTGTTGCCCCATGTTTTCTCTGTGACTCAACAGATAACTGAGGGAGATGACAGCCTCCTACAGCTCACCCACCCGGATGGGGTGGCCCAGCACCCAGATGGTAGCTGGAACTCCCCTTATCACCAAACACTTCCAGAAACAAACAAAATATATATGAGATGAATTACCACACATTTATTAAGAGCTTTCGTTTCTCCCCTGCAAATGGGAAATCCAACCATATACCGAATCCAGTAAAAAAGGTGTCACAGAATCTGTGGTCCAATGAGGATGCCTCGTCAAACCCACCAATTGCCCAGATGAATGATCAGTGACTGCTCCTGACAGAGGCAGGATGTGGTGGCCCGGTGGCTCCCAGCAGACCCTGCCCTGCACAGGCCCCTCCCCACCACTGACTAACACACTCGGCTTTTCAGCAGTAGGGGAAAAGTCAACAAGCACACAAGGCCCCCTCCAAATAAAACAAAACCTCAACCTTTTTCCTGACCCTGCAGCCCCTGACAGCCAAGGCTGAGCTTTCTCTGCTCCTCAGTTTCACTCCTTACCTTTTAATAGTTAGCCCTGTGACACCTGGGTTTTATTCCGCTGACCCACTAACAGAGACACAGAATCAGGAGGCTTGTTCAGCAAAACGATACAACAAAAATCCCTGGTTTTCCAGCTGTGCACTACCTGGCACTGCCACTGTGCCTATGTGGCTCTCTACCATGGGTTTCCCACTCTCACGGGCCCTTTGCTGGCTCTTTCTTCTGTATGTCAATGCAGATGCTCCTAGGTCCGAGGCTTGCCTCTATTCTGCCACGGTCTGGGCTGCGCCACTTATTAAGCACACTGGTTAGCTGAGCTCTCACCATCTGTAAACGGGTTAAGGAACCTTGTAGGGCTGCCATGGGGAGTCAATGAAATATAATCCATGTAAAGCTCTGAATGTGAATCTGACAAGTCGTGAGCAAACAAAACACACGTCAGCAGTTATTTTTATGACTTTTTATTCTTGACAATACACGATAAATTCATCTCTTCATTTTTAATTGCTGTCATTACACAGATGACACCAAAGTCTCAGACTATTTTCTATACATGACCACAGACTAGGTAATAAAGCAGGGTCCAGCACCCCACCTGAGCTCTTTATACCTGCCCCCGATGTGTGATTGGCCTGTGGCCCAGCTTGGAGCCCTGTAACTTGCTAAATTCTTCCCATCACATGGTTATTGGACCTGCCCTGCATCCAACTACATGACCTGGTATAGTCCCGCCTTGACCTGGAGTAGTTCACCCTTGACTTGGAATAGTCTGCCCTTCACCTGGGATAGCCCCCTTTGACCTGGAATAGCCTCTCCTTGACCCTCCATTTAGAATAGTCTCCCCTTGACCTGGAACAGACACTTCCTTGACTTGGAATAGTCCCTACATGACCTGGAACAGTCACCTCCTTGACCTGTAATTAGTCCCCAGTTGACTTGGAATAATCCCCACTTGACCTGGAATAGTTCCCCCCTTGATCTAGAATAGTCCCCCCTTGACCTGGAAAAGTCCCCTCTTGACCTGGAATAGACCCCCCTTGAACTGAAATAGTCTCTATTTGACCAGGAGTATTCCCCCTGTCCCACTCGCCACAGCTCCCAGAGGCAGCCCCTCAGCACTCCTTGCTGGAGGAGGGGGAGGCTGTGGAGTAACCATGACATAAGATCCTCAGGGCTAGTAACAGCTGGAGCTGGGTGGTGTGAACTCAGAGCTTCATTTACTTTTCTCTCTACTTTTTTTTATATTTCAAATTTTCCATAATACTACATTTTTTGAAAAGGACGAATATGGCTGCTACCTCCTGCTGCTTACACATAAATTGAGACAAGATATAAAAGCATGAAAAGTTAAGATAACCACTATCATTATAAGAAGACCGTCTACAAGACAAACTGCAGAATGGACAGAAAGTGCTTCCTGAGAGCTCGCTGGGGTTGGCCCAGTCTAGGACAGCACATGGATCCCTGGGTTCCAGCTCTAAGACAGAGTAAAGACAGGTCATCCTTGCGGCACTTTTCAGGCTTCATTCTCCTTAATCCCCCACAAGTTTGATACCCAGGATGAGTTTAGACAAGTAGCACTTAGAAGGGGAGGGAGTGGGGCCGGCCCATGGCTCACTTGGGAGAGTGCGGTGCTGATAACACCAAGGCCACGGGTTTGGATCCCATATAGGGATGGCCGGTTCACTCACTGGGAGAGCGTGGTGCTGACAACACCAAGCCAAGGGTTAAGATCCCCTTACCGGTCATCTTTTAAAAAAAAAAGAAGGGGAGGGAGTGAAAGGGGTGGTGAGGGTGTTTGGACCAGGCAGTGGCAGTATGGGATTCACAGAGGAGAATGATGGAAAATGTCACCTATGATTTGTCAGACAACCCCTAACAATAAACTGTAAATAGAAAATGACCCTCGAAATTTAGTGATGTAACTTTAGCAATGTAAAAATCATGTTTCATCAGCCCCACCAAAAACAGATCAGGCTCCGCTCAACTGGGACTTCCTCTCTGCTGGCACCACCCTCAGTGGCCAGATGGCAAATGAAATACTCTTCAAATGCATTATACTGGATCACTCATTTATTTTCCTGGTTCCTATGATGCACAAGGACCTGCCCTGGAGGTTATGGAAGTACAAAGACACATGGCATGAGCCTGGCTCTTAGGAAGGAAGCTTACATCTCCACACACATCAAGCATCTCAAATTGGCCAGAAGAAAATGGCTGCCCCTAAAACATTTCCACCTGCAACCCCACAAAGCTCACTCCTCCTAAACGATGGCTAGCTGTGACATGGACAGTGACTGAGTTCTGAACTCGACAGTGCACGCAAGCAGCTCAGTTCCATCTGTCTGCTCTTCCCAAAGCTGCCTGTTAGCCACTCAAGTTACTAACCTACATGAGGGAACAAGAGGAAACCAGTTCTGAGACAAGAGATTTACCAAGATCAACCTCCAACCAAGAGGCCCACGCCAAATCAACAGGTCCACAAACCACACGCAACTTACACTGTTATTATAGTGCTGATGTACAGGTTACAAAATTATAGGCTGCACACAGAATTATGGCCTGTGCTGGGACGGATCCTACAATTCCACTCCTAAAGAAAGACCCTCTGTGACTAGGTGGTGGGGCACCTTTAGGTGGCGTCTGTCACAACGCATGCAGGGCAAGCAAACCAGAATGGCCCATGTGGGCGCCTTGTACTGCCCAGGGGCAGTTCTTGCCTGGGTTGAGCCCAGCTCCACTCTCCTCTGTCCCTGATGCTCTGTGTGACCCCAGCACCTAGCACGGAGCCTACACAGGGTTGGAGGGCAAAAATGCTGGCACCAACTCTTGACCGGGAGCTTACCCCATGACAGGTACCCAGGGAGGACACTATGGATGGAGGAGACAGCCCCTGCCTTCAAGGATGTCATAGGCAAGCAGAAGAAATAAGATCAGTTCAGAGTAACAGGAATTAAATCCACAATAAAAACGGCCAGCCAGTGCTAAGGACTCACAAGATGGCCCAAAGGTGCACATTAGTGCTAAAACTGCCCTGTTTTTAAAGGTGCTACCCTAAGCAGCAGGGAACAAGGAGAGGTGACAAAAAGGAGATGTAACCCTCTGGCTGCTCACAGATCAACAGAGAGACCGACCCCATAATACCAAAGTCAGGGCTGCAGGAGTACTTCGGCCAGGGGGACCTGTCCCTTCAACCAAGGCCTCCAAATCACAACAGCTTAACCAGGTGCAGCAGCCTCTGTGGACCATGTGGAGGCAGGCGTGTCTCTCTGACCGTAGTCCTTTGCCCTGAATATTGCAGGCACCACAGGCTTTTTTTTAAATGTCCGAATCATTTTGATTGGTGGATGAGTCTTCCTAGAAAGCGGAATGTTGAAACTACTGAAAAACGCGTCCTCGCACAACTGCTGCAGCTCTCCCCAAGGGCTTTGCACGAGGTGGCGCCCATCAGCTTCCAGCGGCAGGGGACGGCAGTAGGGACAGTGGACACTGGTGGAGGTTCTCTGTTATTCCAGAAACAAAACTGAACAAGAGGGTACCTCTGACTTTTGGAACTGAAGTTGCTTTTGAACACGAAAATTTAAAGGGAAGTTCTGGTTAAAAAATAAACCGAGAAATAATTAAGTTCTAGTTAAAAAACAAACTGAGAGGGGCTGGCCAGTTAGCTCAGGTGGTTAGAGCGTGGTGCTGATAACACCAAGGTCCAACATTCGATCCCTGTACCAGCCAGCCACAATAAAACTAAAAAATAAAATAAACTGAGAAATAATTAAGAATATTTTGATGCCCAGAATCAGAATTCCAGTAAACCACCACGGGTTCTTTAACTCACTGAATGTTCTACAGATTGATGCACAGAGTTTTAAAACAAAGTGGTTTTGGCCCACTTAACCATCCACTCTTCATTTAGCAACTCTTTTACTGAGCATACATGTCCCTCACCGCCAAAATGATCCCAAGAGACCAAAGGATCAACTCAGCCCCTAGAGGGAGCACCAGCTAAATGCAGTTTCTCTTCCACAAGTGGAAGAGAGTGGAGGGTGTGAGGTCGGAAGCTCAGCCTTATCTGCTCATTTGGGTGAACAGGCTCCGAGGAACTGGGTCTACTAAACAAATTCTCAGAGACTAACTGGCAAGTCAGAGCGTCTGTTTATTAATCCACAATAAGAAATGCATCCACTGCAAGAACCAACATAACCAGACTCCCAGGACAGTCGCCTATACTTGGGGGCCAACATAAATAACATGGCCACACATACCAGCTGGGTTCTCCATGCAAAATGCTAAGCTCAGCATTATCCTGGAGAAAGTGCTAAGAAGTTTAAGAAAGAAGAGAGGAGGAAAACTAAGAGGCACCGAGTGCCCAGTACGTCACAGGTACAGTGCTGAGGCGTTTTCACACGTGCATCTTATTTAATCCTTACAATAAACTGCAAGGTAGGTGCTGTCTTATTAATGAAACAAGACTGCCTCTGAACAAAGACATTTAAAGTAAAAGGCCCTGGGTGTCTCACGAGTACTCGCTATGTGCGGGATGCTTGGCTGCAACAGTGAAGGAGCCGCTGTCCCTGCCCCCCCAGGGATTCCCATTCTAAAGAGGGAGAGAGACAAACAGCAACCGCTGGCCGGTCGTCAGACCTGGCACCAAACTCAGCGCAGCCCAGCTTCGGCAGAAACCTGAAGCTGCAACTCTGGCCAGCTGGATAGCACGAGGCTGCTGTCCCTGTGGATCAACACCTGCCACCTCTCATAAATCACACTGACCCAGTGGCATCGGAGGCACTGCAACGAACCCTCCCTCACAAACTCCAGGACGAAGAGCCTCCCTATGGACACCCGCACCACCACACTACTCATCTACATTTCAACACCAGCAGTCACAGCAATGCCAGCAGACAGGTCCACTATCTTTTTAAAAAACTAAGTACTTCAGTGCCTACCAATGGAAAAAGAACCTTTCCTTGGTGCTTACAGAGGCCTAAATAACGGGCACAACACAGCCCATGCATCCCCATCTCAGGACTTGCCAAGGATCTCTGCACACTGCTGCCTGTTTGCTCCAATGACAAATATGAAGGCACCTCAATGTGACAGGAGGCCACCGGGGTGGGCCAGGGTCCAAGCCGAGGGTCCTGCCGCAGCACCCCTAGTCTGTCGCAAGCCTCACAGTGAGATTCCAGGCACAAATTTCTACAGCTTTAGGTGCTATTTCTTGACCTTCCCTACATCATTTTTCAACTCAGATCTTGGGCTCCAACTGACTACAAATCCACAGGAAAATTACTTTTCCCTGGAAGATGTAAGACCTGTGGCCTCTTCTTCCTTAAGATGGATGAATGTGCCACCCACACGTCCCACCTGGGTGGGACAGCTCCTCCCCTCCCACATGCACCTTGGAGTCTTCGGCCTCCACCAGGAGCCACAGGGTCTCAGGCCAGGAAGCGGCAGATGACACCTCCGCCCTCTCCTCCCAAAGCAGGGGTCATGGGGACCAGTCCATCCTAGCTACAATGGAAACTGGCCACAAATGCCACCCACAAGGGACCCACATGATCTTCTGGACAGCTCTTCCATGCAGGTTTGAACCTACCTCATTCTCCGTGGAACACCCCGTTTGAAACTCTGTTAGAGGAGGAATTTCTTTGGAGGAACTCTGAGTCCCCCCCCTCTGCCGATAGTTACTGTGCATTCTCTATTCACTTAGGCGCCTGTCGAAAAATATGGTCGGATGTAGCCCTCCTTCTGAAGAAAACATGAGTGAACAGGAAGACCAGAAACCACAGCTTCCTTCTGCAGAGCCCAGTGAAGCTGTTTACAATTTTCAAAAAGTTGAAAATGCAGGCAGCACCCAGAAACTGCTGGCAAAATCCAAACAGGCTGCATGCACAAAGAGACACAAGGAAAACCCGCGTGTCTTCCTACTGCTCACCGCTTGCGAAGCCACAGGCAGCTGGTGCCACAGGCAGCTACTGCATTCCCACCTAGCGCTGAGCGGTCAGCAGAAGCCATTACTGTGGAAGTCTGACCAGACTGCAAATTCAAATGCTGAAACTGTGCAAGCAGACAGAGACCACCACTGGAACTGCCCCTTCCTGGTAACGACAGACCCCGCTGGTGGTAGGAACAGGCAACAACACTGTTCCAGCCATGCTATTTTCAGCCCTTGCTCTAAGGCGGCAAGACTTTTACAGAGACAGCTGCATTTCCAGGTGGGGCTTGGGCAAGGAACATCTGGCTCTAAGGTCCTTGGCTTACAGGTGCCTCTATTTGCCTCCAGGACTCATGAGCTCGAGTCAGTACTTTGAAACTAAACTTGTGTGTCCCTGAGCAAGCTCGTTTCAACTTCTTTAGGGTTAAGTTTCCTAATCTAGAAAAGGAGAAGTTGGATAAGTTGCTGGTGAAAACCCTTATGACTCTGAATATTCCAGATGGCTTGCAAATAGGACAGGCTACTTAATTAAATGTTCTGATTAATGAGTGACCATATATATGTATATACAGATCAATATACAAACACAACAATTCCAATATAATTTATTACTATCAGGTTGAACCAAAATGCTGATTTTCAACAGTGTTTTACCTATAAAAATGACAATTTCATATGGTTCAGCTTTATTAAAATGCAACAAAGAAAGTTTAATTTTTCTTGATTCTGAAAAGACTGCTTCAGAATAATAGTTTTGTGCTTCGTATTGTTACTTAAGGCCTGAATGTAGAAAGTATAGTGAAGTGGGGAAAGCAGTACTAAATCTAGATTGGCTTGAGTCAATATCTGGTATTAAATGGACTGTCACTTTATCTCTTTAAAACCCAGAGCAGATTCACCACCTCAGACTCCTTTCTAAAAGGTGCCTCTACAGAGCAGAACCAGGGGCCCCTGACCTCCAGGGCAGGCTTGAAGGGAAAAAAAGGAAGCCAGGTATAAGATACAGAAAGAGATGCTACTCAGCAGAGCAGCCCACTTCTACTTTGACTACTAGGGGAAAGGGGGAAGGGCATTTCTGGAGAAACAGACACGAATAAAAAGGAAACTCACATGTTTGGAACACTAGTCACACCACCCTTCCTTCACACAGTGATCCCCACAATCCATGTGAAACAGAAAGGCCAAAGAGCAAACAGAAAGAAGCAGGCACAATTTACAGACATTGGGGAAGAACTGCACCCGTAAAACAAGA